TCGAACCATTGCGGCATATCCATCGGCCCCCACCGCCCCTGCCGCGTTGGCCACTGTCGTAGGCGCTGCCGCCCAGATACTAGTATATGGCCAGACAGTTTCATTTACCCATCCCAATGTTTCTTCCCAGCTTTCCATTACTTACTCTCCGACCACCTCGGAGGATGCGACTGTCGAGGCTTGTGCTGGGGAGTCCCTGATCGCTTTCTACTCCCATCCGTTATTTTTTGTCGAGACAAACTACATTGTCGATGAACGTGAGGTTCTCGCAGTAGTTTATGCTACCCTGCACTGACGTCATTACCTGCACAAGGTGCCCTTCATGGTACGCACGAACAACGTTGTTCTCCAAGTTTTTCTCACAAATCTCAAACTTTGTTGGTGATGCGATTTATCTGAGTTCACCGACCGTATCAAGGGTGAAACGAGCGACATCACTGATGCCTTGTCCTACTGTCCTGATCACAATTAGGAACCTATCCAGCTTGTTGCCATCTCGATCACCACCGTTGCTCCTTTGGTGATCAGCGCATATACTATGTACCGCCACTGACTAGACTATTATGACATCTGCATGACACTACAACGTGGCACGGCCGTTCCTTCATACTCTCTTGATCAGAACGATCTCGTGTATCGGCATGGTCAGTCTGGTCAACTCGAATCACGTGTATACACTCCCTGCACTGGACAACTCCGCGTTCAGGCTGTAGCAGAGTTCAATAACCAGACAGTTGCTCGTCATATGGGTTTCCATAAAATGTTGGTTCATGTTTGCAACCTATACGTCTGACCGAAGTCCAAAGACTTTGTCAAAGCCTACGTCTAGGAGTGTCCTACATGTGAGAGGAGGTGAGCAGTGCGAACCACCTTTCATATGGGTTACTTCAGCCTCTATCAATACTTGAGGGTCGTTGGCAGTCCATCTCGATGGATTTTGTTGGCCGCTCCGCCCTCCCACTGAACGCGCTCATGATGTTATCTTGGTCGTCGTCGATTGTTTCACGAAGCATGCGCGTTTTGTCTGGTGTCGCTATTGCATTAGCGCTCTTGAAATCGCCGATATTGTCTTCAACCGAGTTGTGAGAGATCACGGCTTACCTCAAAGCATTATCTCCGACTGTGACCCGTGCTTTACTGACACATTCAGGCGATGCCTACACGAGGTGTACGGATCCCAACTTCGCTTTTCGTCGTCTTACCACCCTCAAACGGATGGTCAAACTGAGGTCACCAATAAAACTGTCGGTAATATCCTCTAAATGTTTATTGGGGATGACCCTCACAGGGTCTTACACTTAGCCCACGTGGAGATTGCATACAACCACACCATTTCTCAAGTCAAGAGGATGTCGTCATTTTATTGCGACCTCGGCTACCACCCTCACGTACCCACTGATATGACCGTCGCGGTTGCGCCCAGACACTCGTTGTCCTGCGCTTGACGCCTGGATCGCCCACATAGTGGGGATTATGAGGCACCTGCAGCGGGCCTCTATCTGGCATCTGCCCTGGTCTATAGCCAGGACCTATCAGGCTATTTGCCTGTTCGGCCTGTGGGACCAGACCGTGGCCTGACCCCACAGGCCGTGTGCTGTTTCCGTCTAGTCCAGTCATACCCGATACCACTGTCAGTACCAGGCCAGTCAAGTCCAATCCAGTTAGTCCGCTGGGGGTATACTCCAGCTAGAGTCTGTATTTAATCATTCTTCATTCTACACACTTTGGAGTACGTGTGTGTTGAGTCTGCATCGAAGTTGCGCTGTCCCTTCCAGCTCCATCTCCATGTCCTCCTTCCTCAACCCTTCGTCTTGATCCTGACAGATCGCCATCCCGACGGGCCCGCTATCAGAGCGGGAACCGTCCTGCGCCCCYCCCCCCCGCCGCACTGATCGGCGGGCAGCTATTTCCCCCCTCTCCCCCCCCGGTTGACGAACCCCGACGTGTCGGGCGGTTGTTTCACCCCCCCCGGATGATAGGCGCCGGCAGGCCAAAACCCGATAGTGAGTTTTTGACTGTTTTTCAGGCGTTTACGGAGCAAAACAACTCAGAAACGTGTGGTGACGAGGAAGCAACAGGTGGCGAGAAAAGAGAGAGGGTCGCCACGATGCAAGACCAAGGTTGCCGCACGCGTGCGCACTGTCCTGCCCCGCTCTCGGATTACATATATCAAAATCCGGGATGCACGTTGCTGCCAAGGTTTGAGCTCAGACAGCTATTGGCCATACGCGTGTGTAGCCAATGCTTTAACACACTGGCCAAACTGTCTCTATGGCTCTGTAGTGCGGGACGTTCATGTTGAAGAGTTCCACACATGCTATTTACCTGCCCCCCCCTCCTCCCACCCCGTCGGTGAGCAGCGACCAAGAGGACAGCAATGGGCGGGTTGCTATTTGCCCCCCCCCCCCCCCCCTCCTCGGGGGCATCGTGGGTGTTGGTGCCTGCGCACGTGGCCATCCGCAATGCCACATGGCAGCTTGTTGAGGACCTTGAAGACGTTTCTGGCTAAGGGGCTGCACTACAAGGAGTTTTGCATGGCTGATCAAAATCTCAACACACCCAGATGATGACCGTGATTGTCATTATTATTTTTTCTACTGCTGCACCGACATTTTGGCAGCAGTGAAGACCCCTCTGGCTAGGGGGCTGCGTGACAGTGCAATTAGGGTGGTTGATCATGTCCTCAACCAACCCTAGATTATTTATTTATTTATTTTTCTGCTGCAGCAGCAAGCTGCCAACTCCTGTGGATCTTGGTGATCTTTTTGCTCTTGGCCAACCAAGAGCCTGGTATCATCCCTCTCCACCAACCTCCTCTTCCACTCTCTCTTCCCTAAACCACCTCATCATTTTTTTAACTCTACCACTACTCCCTCTTTACTTATCCTCCACCATTTTTTCTCTCCTCCCCCCCTCCCCCCTACTCACCATCTTCTACTAATCTTTTTCACGTCTCTCCACTTTTCTCATCATTTTCTCTTCCATTCTCCCAACCCGTTCTCCCCCTTCCCTCCCCCAACTACGACCCAATCATGCCCCCATCTCCCACTCCAATCTTGTTCTTTTTCTCACCTATTTTTCTCTCTTCATCACTTTTCAATCCCCCCTCATCCCTAACTTCGAATTTTTCTGTTCTTTCTTCTTTTTTCTTTTTCTTTGATTAAAATTTTCTCTTTACTTTAAAAGTTTGAATTTTCTTATTCCCCTACTTCTTTCTCATTTTTTTGCTTTTTTTTTTTTTTTTTTTTTTAAATCCGAATTTCTTTCTGCGGCACCTCTATATTTGTTTAGGACTTAGCTATTTCGGCTATCGGCGCGCATTTTGACCCCGTGGGGATAACGAAGTGCTGCCAAAATTTTTTATTTTTTCCCTACTCTCTCCCATCTTACTTAGTCATTTTTTTCTTGACGGCACACTTCGACCCCATGGGGGCAGGGTTGTCGACCCCCGGCCCCGGGACCCCGTCGGGGTTCCGGGGTTCCGGGGGTCGGCACCTGGGACCCCGGCCCCCTGTATGGGGAAAAAAAAAAAAAAAAAAAAAA